GACATACCTCTACCAAGGACGTAGCTTAGGAGGACCTAGGAGATGAAGACTCTATTTTGTGTTTTGTGTTTAAATATTTATTCAATCTAAGGGCTTTATATATGTACAAAGCTTATGACTTTCTTTTGTTGTAACCAAGCAATGTCTTAGAAAGATGTAAACCCGTAGGACATTTATTTGTTGTTATTAACTCGTATTACATGATATAGATTCAGGATGAATATTTATGAATGTATATTACATTTGCTAGCTTTTGTAATACGAACTCTAATAAATAAAAGTATACCAATTCTATTATGTTCACTTCTCTTATGAGTTGGATTGTTTGTATTATTTTTTGGGGTGTGACAAAAAATTTGTGGTGATTAAGAAGTTTTTTTCTCTATTTCATTCCGAGGTATGTCAATCTGTTTGATTTTTTTTTTATTACCCATTTTCATATACAACACAATCTATTTTCATGCTTCGTTAGTTGATTTTCTATCATTCATCTATGGTCTCACTCTGTACTTGCATATTTTCTGTGTAAGCAAAACTAGGCATGATTTCACCCACCGATCGACTCCCTAGTCAACCAACCGGCTGACCACTTAAGGGTGGTCTAACCTCCTTTGTTTGTCTGCTTCTGTTGTTGCTTTGGTTATCTGTTATAGAATAAATAACAAATGTTCAGTTATCTGTTCCTGATCAAATAAATAACGTTCGGGCTTGTGTTTCCGAATTTCGATCATACATTCGAGAGTTCAATCTTGAAAAATAACGAATAATTTTTATTATTTTTACCATTTTTTTTAAGAAACTTATCTTTACAAGAGCAATCTGCTTTGAGCTAAGAATACCAACAAAGTTATGAATCTCTTCTGAGTTTTTATTGTTGTACTCCTCTCGTCTTATAGAGTTGTGATTGTTGGAAAAATTTCCACTTACTGTTATTACTGGAAAAGTATATGTAATCAAATTGTTGCCACTGTTGTTGTTGAAATATTACCACTAAAGGGTTTTCAAGATTTTGAGAATGAGTAGATTTTGAAAGTGAGATTTGAGAAAAATAAATAGATTGTGATGGAAGTAAGTACTCTCATGACTGGGTTGTAATCAATAGTAGTGCTCTAGATTTTCTAATAAAAGTTGGAGACAAAAAAACATTTATCTAGTTTTCATCCTCTCCACAATTATTTTTGATATAAAATTTTACAAATATTAATAAAATTCTGAAGATGTGTTTGGACCATGATTTTAAAAAAGAAAAAGAAAACTGAGAAAAATATGGAAAGAAAGAAAGAAAAAAAAGAGAGAGAGAGATTCTCCATTCCACTCACTTCTTTTTAATTTTTTTTTTCTTTTCAAATTTCTGCTTAAATTTATAATTTAAACACAATTAAAGATTTGTGTGAATTCCTCCTTCAGAACAAACTGAAAACCAACAAAACTCAGAATCATAATATGTAACCAATTTCGGTTCCTAAACCAACAAACCCAAATGATTGCTGAATTTTCCCTCAACTTGAATTAAGACCAACTTCGATGGCGTTACTATAATGGTTGCTATTGCTAAACGTTATCCAAAAATCAAGCTTCACGTGAGCTCAGTGTCATTATTCAATTTTCAGCCAAATTGTTTGCAACTTTCTCGTTCATGATCAGTCTCATCTGGCACAATGCATGTTTCAACGCTCGAGTGAGAACACTTATTGTGTCTGGTCGCTCGAGCGACAATTTTTTCGCTTGAGCGAGTCTCGCGTATATCAACTCGCTGCAACTCATTTTTACATCATTTTTTTGTATCTTTGCACTCAAGTGAGGACATTTATTGTGTCTGATCGCTCGATCGATAACTCTTTCGCTCGAACGAGCCTCGCGTATATCAGTTCGCTGAAGCTTATTTTTACATTATTTTTTTGTATCTTTTTACTCAAAAACCCTAGATCAGCTCATTCTCTCTCTAAAATCAAACTTCTCTCTACAAATCCCCTAGGATCTAAGGGTCTCTCTACCCTACTCCCTTTGATAAAAAGGTGGAGCACCTCAAAGGCTACCATTACATTTGAATAGAGTTTGGTTCCGACATTTTTGGAGTTCCTCCACTTCTCTTTTGGGCTTCTACACTTGAGGTAGGGATATTCTACACCTTAATATGATCTTTAACGTAGTTATTTGTTGTTATGTATAAATGGTGAAATTTGGGGAGTATTTGAGTAAACCTAGGATTTGGATTCAAGTTTAAAAAGAGGGATTTCTATGTGGTGTTATATAATTGATCATAGGGTTTGGATATGAGGTTAACTTGTGTTAAAATAGTTGATTTTGACTCTTTGGTCATTTTGGAAAATAGGGAGTTTTGCCTTAAAATGTCTAGAATAATTATTTTGTATAAATAATGGAATTGGTATGAGAAATGTGAAATTAGAAGTATGTATAAATGAATGGTGTAGTTGGATTTGTTTAATTACTCACCTATGGAAATGTGATGAATTATCTGTTGTAAAAATTGTATATCTGTTTAGAAATAACTGTATTGGGTTATCGGTGGAGGGAAGCTATGATTGTTGTAGAAATTGCATGAGAATTAGGTGAATAGAAACTAATCATTTAAATGTATTATTGAATATATATAATTGATAGTCATTGAATATGATAGTATGTTAAAGCATTGAATATGTATAATTGATAGTTATTGAATATGACCGTGTTTTTAAATATATTGAAATGGATGTACTTCACGTTTTAGGAGGAGATAGGGATGGACTGCATTGAAATTAAGTTGGCCAGAGTATCCAGGGTGAAAAGTCCCGAAATCATGTGTATACATGGATGTCGATCCCGCGGACGAAATTTCTGTAAAATGACAAGATTGAAGTACTTGTAAAATGATTGCGCTGATTTGAGAATCATTGAGTTGTAGTCTCAATTGGGTTATTCGGAGAATTATAAACTTAGTCCATGAATCGTGATGAAATGAATTAACTTGAAATGAATAGATGAGAATGGATTGAGATGTGAATATTAATACTGTATGTTTATGTGGAGAATGTGTGTTTTGTCATGAATAATAAATATACACTTAACACTTATATCTTCGTTAAACCTCATATATTGTGATGGATTGTTTATACTGGGTTTTGGCTCACCTTATTTGGGAAACCATTTTCAGGTACAGGTGACATACCTTCTCTAAAGACGTAGCTTAGGAGGACCTAGGAGCTGGAGGCTCTATTTTGTGTTTTGTATTTAAATGTTTATTCAAGCCAAGGACTTTATATATGTACAGAGCTTGTGACTCTCTTTTGTTGTAACCAAGCAATGTCTTGGAAAAATGTAAACCTGTATGGTATTTATTCGTTGTTATTAACTCGTATTATATGCTATAAATTCAGGATGAACATTTATGAATGTATATTGCATGTGCTATCTTTTGTAATACGAACTCTAATGAATAAAAGTATATCAATTCTATTATGCTCACTTCTCTTATGAGTTGGATTATTTGTATTATTTTTTGGGGTGTGACAAAAAATTTGTGGTGATTAAGAAGTTTTTTCTCTATTTCATTCCGAGGTATGTCAATCTGTTTGATTTTCTTTTTTATTACCCATTTTCATACACAACACAATCTATTTTCATGCTTCGCTAGTTGATTTTCTATCATTCATCCATAGTCTCACTCTGTACTTGCATGTTCTCTGTGTAAGCAAAACTAGGCAGGATTTCACTCACCGGTCGACTCTCTAGTCAACCAGCCGGTCGACCACTTAAGGATAGTCTAACCTCCTTTGTTTGCCTGCTTCTGTTGCTACTTTGATTATCTGTTATAGAATAAATAAGAAATGTTCAGTTACCTGTTCCCAATCAAATAAATAACGTTCAGGCCTATGTTTCCGAATTTCGATCATATGTTCGAGAGTTCAATCTTGAAAAATAACGAATAATTTTTATTATTTTTACCATTTTTTTCAAGAAACTTATCTTTACAAGGCCAATTTGCTTTGAGCTAAGAATACTAACAAAGCTATGAATCTCTTCTGAGTTTTTATTGTTGTACTACTCTCGTCTTATAAAGTTGTGATTGTCGAAAAAAATTTCAGTCATTATCATTATTGAAAAAGTATATGTAATCAAATTGTTGCCACTGTTGCCGTCGAAATATTACCACTAAAGAATTTTCAAGGTTTTGAGAATGAGTAGATTTTGAAAGTTAGATTTCAGAAAAATGAATGGGTTATGATGGAAGTAATTACTCTCATGACCGGGTTGTAATCAATAGTAGCGCTCTAGATTTTCTAATAAAAGTTAGAGACAAAAAAACATTTATCTAGTTTTCATCCTCTCTCCACAATTATTTTTGATATAAAATTCTTAAGATGTGTTTGGACCATGATTTTAAAAAAGAAAAAGAAAACTGAGAAAAAAATGGAAAAAAAAAAAAAAAAAAAAAGAGATTCTCCATTCCACTCACTTCTTTTTAATTTTTTTTTTCTTTTCAAATTTCTGCTTAAATTTATAATTTAAACACAATTAAATTTAAACACAATTAAAGATTTGTGTGAATTCCTCCTTCAGAACAAACTGAAAACCAACAAAACTCAGAATCATAATATGTAATCAATTTTGGTTCCTAAACCAACAAACCAAATGATTGCTGAATTTTCCCTCAACTTGAATTAAGACCAACTTCGATGGCGTTACTATAATGGTTGCTATTGCTAAACGTTATCCAAAAATCAAGCTTCACGTGAGCTCAGTGTCATTATTCAATTTTCAGCCAAATTGTTTGCAACTTTCTCGTTCATGATCAGTCTCATCTGGCACAATGCATGTTTCAAGTTCAAAACACATAACTAGAATACAATAAAATAAACTGAACTAAAATATAATATAATACCATCATAAAATCGTCCAATGAACTTTAGCCATGTGAATATAAGTTTTCGGAAGTGAATTCTCCACAAGGTTTGTATCAAAATGGTCCCAAGTAAATCAAGAATTGATAATGCTCAAATGAATTAGTATGATCTCAGGATAAAATTGAAAATATTAAAAATTTCACTATCATAACAATTATGCCTTTGCCATCTCAATACCGATGAAAAGCGTGATTTCAAAGGCGAAATAGTTTGACAGGCGTCTAGTAGAACAAAACAAAGTCAGTCCACGGTGACCATCAATCTCCTTGTTTGATAAAAGATTGGGCCGTTATTACAAAAGAATATGACTGAATATAAATGTAGCCATCCATTATTTGTGTGGTACTGAAGAAAACTGATAGAATCCGTAATTCCAATAGATGACCAACCCAGGTCTAGCATCCAAACGAGTGGGGAAAAAGTTATAAAGATTGAATGTCGCCAAGCCAACAACCATGAGAATTAAAGACTCGCCAAAAGCAAACAAAGCACAAGCTTTTTGAATTCTGAAACTGGAGAATATACCAAACACTATCTCATCATCTCACCAGATCTTATTCTGGAAGTAACACTGGACTCAGCAATCAGTGATGCTCATCATCACCGTGTCCATCCGGAGGTCCTCCTGGGCCAACCACTTCCAACTGCATAACATAAATAAAAAAAAAATACCCTATAATTTTCCCTTTCACGTCTCAATTGTGAACGTAAAAGTAAATGTATGAAATGAGCAATTTGACCCAGAACTCAATCCAATCCACGCCATCTATCCAATAGCGAAGGGATTTGAATAAAATTTAGATCAGTTAACTAAAACCATCTGATTGATTCAAGGATGATATACTGCACTCACCACGAAGTACTGAGTGCACACTGGACATTCATGTGGCTTGCCTTTCTCTAGCCAGAACCAAACGACATCATGCTCATCTTCTGTTTAAAAGAGAGAAAAATTGTTATAAATAGCTATAAGCAACAAGTTAGAAAAAATTGTGTTGAATAGCTATAACCGAGAAGCTAGTCCTTGTTCCATGAATGCTACATATTAGTCCTAAGAGAAAAACTACATCATGGAAAGATATAATAATTGAATTAGAAATTAATAACTAGGACTTACCCCCTTCACCTCCAGGACATCCCACAATTCTTTTATCATAGTAGGACTTGATGACTGCAGGTTCTTCCTACAAGCAAACAAAATGAAGAATCTATTTATGGATGCTATCATACTCCCAGAAATGCCACAGGTGCCAATTCAAAACAAATTATAGTTCCTGCTCTCCATCCATCTATTTTACCAGAGACATTGGAAGTTTTAAGTATGTGAACAGATTATTGTAATGTAATTATGACCTACAACAATCCCAAAAATATAAAATCCCATTTTTTCACTTGGTTCTACCACCAAGTCAAAAGGTACTTCCACAAATAAATAAATCATTATATTCCAGCTTGATGGTGAAAACAAATGCTCACTTTTGCACCAGCCAAACCTTCCAAGTAAAAAATGCAATATAACTTTTGAGACTTCCAGTCATCACAGCTAAATACTGCAGTTCCAGGTTTAGTTGACACGTTCAAGATGTAACAAACGTGATACTAAAATTACAGCTATTGTTCACTAAAATGAAAATTCCATGCTCTCTAATTTGACATCTTTAGGGAAAATATGATATTTACATTACCCCTATAGTCTGGTTCTCAGGCTTTAACCAAAATTTGGATCGGGTCAGTTCTGAGTTGAGGGGCTGTTTCTAAGGCTGCAAAATAAACCAAGCTGCAGGTAAGCAGCTCAATTTTGGCTGACTCAAGCTCAACTCATTTACTTTATCAAGACAAGCCCGAACAAAAACACTGAGCTTAATTAGTTAATGAGCCAAATTTTATCACCCTTTGGTTTGGCTTGAATGTGCTCACGACCCCATCCAAAACCAGTTATAATGCCAACTTGAAAACCATATGCTCATTATATCACAAAAGGAAAATAATAGTCACAGGCTTTGAAGTAGCAGAGGCCAAAAGGCCAACTGATTTACTAAAAAATCTCATTTTCCTAAAAAAGCGTTGGCTCATTTGCTAAACCTATTCCTCCCCAAAAGCTCAAATTAGCCAAATTTACGTACACTAAAAAGCCATTTGAAAATCCAAAAAACTGAGAAATTTACCAAACAAAAAGCTTTTTTAGCATTAGCTTTTTTTGTTTTGGCTTTTTTAGTTCAATTTATTTGTCTTTTTAGTTAACTTTTTTAAAATTGACTCAAATAACTTTACTTTTTAGATTCTTCTCGACTAGACGATCCTAAAACTTAAATTTGACTATCTTTTTTTTAAGTTCATACAAGACAAAAAAAGACAATTTTTGCAAGTTTTTTCTTTTTTTTTTAAATTATAAAAATTGGCTTATTTCGTCTTTAGTGAACTTTTTTCAAAATTGACTCAAATATTTTAATTTTTAGAATCATCTAGTTGAGACGGACCTAAAAAGTAAAATTTTTTGACTCATAGTCGAAAAAATTCAAAAAAGACTAAAATAAGTCAAAAAAGTAAGTTGCTTTTTTAGTTTTGCCAAACAAAGCCTAGCCAATAAGCTAGCTTTTTAGCAACATCCCCAAGGATGCCTTACTTGAATTGAAGAAGTCAAATCATGAAAACTAATCAGGCCCTGTTTTCTCACCTCCATGCAACTTTATCATATTTGGATATGATTCCCACAAAAGTTGCTATGTCTAACCAATTGAGGCAACTCAGTGGTTTCTTAAACAAAGGAAAGTTTTCCTAAATTTTATGTCCAATCACCATATTGCCCTCAATTTTATATTTAATGGTTGATTATAGTGGATCTTTGCAATTCTATTTGAGCATAGCCAAGTGGAAATTGAATGTTTGCACACTGAGGTGAGCACCAACAAAGTTGACAAAATGTAAACCAAGGATGAGTCGAGATCGAGCACATCTCAAATTTCAAACAACTGAGCATTTGACTCAACTTGTTTTAAATTTTCACCCCTAGCTGCGTTATGAAAACCAACCTGCGAACTGCATTCAGATGTATTAACAAATAAAAATTCTGCACCCATGCTTTACATCCAAATAGTGCTTACAATTGGCAAATAGAGAATATTCCTTATATAAAGCCAAAAGCACTTATTATCTCTATATGGGAAGTGGAACCCTTCAACAGCAGAAGCAAGTTACTCACGTTCACAGCTAGTCACCCAATGGCAGAAAATCGGAAAGAGGATTTCTTCTCCTATATCTTGCATTAGCTTGGGCTACCATGAGTTGGCTAAGGTGGCTGGTTTGGCCCATTAAAGTTCATAAAACTACATCTACACTATTATGTTATGGCAATGTTGTGACTAGAGATGTAAGAAAAACCGAAAAAACTGACTAAATCGATTGAACCAAATCGAACCGGTCATATTTGGTCGGTATTTTAATATGAATCGGTCTGTTCGGTTTTGAAAATTATTTTTTTTCAATTTTCTGTTTGGTACCAATTTTGGCATATTGTACACTGATTTTCACTGAAACCGACCGTAGATGTTTACATATAATAAAATTATTGTTTTAAGTTTTGGTTTTATTTTGATATTAAGAGTTTGGTTCTTCAATTATATTTTATTCCTAATTCTAATTCACTAAAAGCTTCAAGCATTAGTATTTATTAATTTTTTTTGTTTGTATTTCTGTGAATAGTTGAATTGGATATGGTTAAAATTATGTACAAATGGCTAATTTAATATTTTTATATAAATTATTTATTATATTACAAATTTAAGAAACGATTCATTTTGAAAATACTTAAACCAATTAAACCACATTGAGCCGAACTGTTTGAATCGGTGTGGTTTGGTAAGAAATTTGGTCTGTATCAGTTTTCAATATGATAAAATCGACATTATCGGTTCGGTGCAAAATTTCACCTAAATACTAACTGTACTGAACTGATTACATCCCTAGTTGTGACCAACATCAATATTCAAATGCTGAACACGACACATTGTAAGTTGAAGTTGTCTTTAGTGTGTAGACAAAGGAAATTGGAATAAATTGAACAGAGAATTTCGGTTTGATTTGTTCAGTCTCTTCAAGTCTTAGTTGGTGGAAAATTACAGAACTGACAAAGGTCATGTTCATTCTACGCTTGGTCAAAAACTGACCAAACCCAGACAGTGTGCATCCATAGCTACAGGCTATGAAATAATGAAGAGAAACTTACCAGTAGACGTTTATTTCATAGCAGCCAAAACCAGAATAAGAGTTAGTGAATAATCCAAAATACAACAGTTTAGAATGACAAGGAATATGGACACCAATAAAGCTGAATCTTTGATTGCCAACTTCATATATTATTTATCCATATATGTACATTTTTTATTTTATCAACAAAAGTCAATTGTTAGTTGTTATATTAGCTCTTGGGGAGAGTTGAACCCCAGACATATTTTTTACAAGTACAACATCACATATATGATGTCTCACATTGACACATTTCCAAAACCTGACTGCATTAAGGAAAACTCCAGATCTCTCATTTTACTAACCTAAATAAAAAGGTTCATTGCAAAGAAAGATAGAAAACTTTAGCACATTAGATATAATCATTGTTTTGTTCTTTTCTCATCTTATATTTTAATAATAATAAACTCTCCAAAATCCATCAGCACAAACATCCATTTAAGCAAGAATACTTAGGAACCAAAAAATGGTATAAGAACAATTGCAGTAGACAACCTTGAAACTAAATAAATGTATAACATAAGCAAGGGAACTTAAAATTTTGAACAACTTCAGCCCGCAAAACATTAGCAGCAACCTTCACCCCAGGACAATTTTGTACTACAGTTTGCAAGTCGCAACAAATTTTTTTTAGTTGTACTACTACTTACTATATATAATATCACAGCCTAAGTGAACTTGACTAGCTTTTCCCAACATGATAAAAAGCTCTCCAGTCACAAGATTTGCAACCCTCATATGGAAGATAGTTCTATTTCAACTCCCATAAACTTGATACTAATAAACTTGATACTAACAAGTCACATGACTACATACATCTTTGTTAAACACATGCACAGACACAGAAATGCTTGATACTGTAGCAACCCTCACCTTACTCTTGCCATACTTACATACATTCATGCATGATCTTGTCTTGTTATGTTGTTTTGCAAGTTTTGTTTTGCCTTGTTTTGTTTAAGTATTGCTTGCATGGTTTTGTTCCTTGCTTGGTGTGTAGCCAAGGTCATCTTGAGCTTAGTTCACCTCTGAACCTTTGTGCTTAGAACTGTTTTGGAACCCCTTGGCCGACCCCATCTTCACCCGGGCAGGTTTGCCGAGATATTTTGCACTTAGTGATCCTCGTCCTTGGGCAGGTATGGCCTAGACCGAGGTGTGGCACACCCCGGCCAAAGTGTGGCACAGCTTAGTCAAGTGTCGTCCTCCCTAGCCGATGTCTTTATTACCCTGTTGCCGAAGCTTTGACTTTAACCGATGTCATTACTTGCCAATGTGTCTTGCCTTAGCTTGCTGTGTACGCTTTGTCATAGACTTGTCTTATCAATCAATCACCTTTTGAGTTGAACCAACCCAGTAGCGCCATGTGTTCGAGCTGATTGTTAAGACAGCCGGCAGACCTAAAAACAAATCATTTTGTCTCAAATCTTTTCCTTTAGAGAGAGAAGCTCTAGAGAAAGGAGGAGAAGTTCTTGAGTGAGAATAGATCTTCCAAGCTTGATCTTCGAGGTTTGAACCGTTGGATTCGAGTTTTGAGGTAAGAATCTTGATCTACTCGTGTTGTTCTTATTGATCATCTAACTGCATTGCATGATCGAATCTGTTTAGCATGTCATGCATCGATTTGAAGTTGGTTTCGGAAGAAAAAGATAGTATTCATGTGTTCTTGAAGAAAGTCTCGTTTTGATCCGAAAGTTTGGAACCAGAACCATGTTTTGTGTTTGTTCTTGCATGACCTTCTTGTATGGGTACCCAAGTCCATGTTTTGAATTCATGGCATGAAATCTCAGATTTTTGTAACAGGTTATGATCTTGCATTCATCTTCTTCATGATCATGTTCTTCATGTTCTTCAAAGGGAAACCCAGGTTTTTCCCGACTTTGTTTTGAATGAGGCCATCGGGACCACACCTCGGCAAGGAGGTGTAGGAGACCTGGTTGCGTAC